CTTGAGCAAGGGCTAGGGGTGGCCAGACAACAGCAATAATACAAGAGAACACTGACTGAAATTGATCGAGTAGACCTGATTGAAACTGTTGTGTTCAAGGAAACCAGTGTGTACATGTAATCAGGCTAAATATGGGGATGGCAAGTTTTCTCTTGGATGTTAAAACAAAAATTATTGGCAATGAATGAAGAAATCACAAAGGTTAAGAATTGCAAGGAGACGGTAGTGGTTAAAGTAAAAATAAAATGCTTGGGAGAGGAAGAGTTTCAAAGACAGGGTTGCGGAAAGCAGTGACTCTAGGAAGTTGGAGTTGTGAAAAGGAGGAGGGCCCAAAAATTGCAATCAAATTTAGGATTGGAAGGAATGACTTGGGGTTAAGGGTGTCATATGAAATGTTTCTTAAAAAAAAATTGAAAAGAAGAGAGAAAAAAGTATAAAAGAAGGGTGGAAAAACATTAGAGGTTAGACACATCTAATGAATTTTTCCCTGCTATAATCATTTAGTTTATTTTGAGAATCAATTGTCCCATTTTGAGGACTGTGTGTGTTTAGAGGGCGGGTAATTCTAGAGTAAATAGGGAAATATTGGGAATGTTATTAGGATGTTAGTTGTGGCATAATTGTAATTACATTGTAGATTTTAGGGTGGGTACTTATAAATAGAGAGAGAGAGAGAGATGTTAGGGGATTGATAGGTTTTTGCAACTTATGAACTTATGGGAGAAAGGTGACCCTCTGAAAGACTATTTAATATAATTTCACTTTGATATTGTAATATTGCAATATATTTTCTGTTTTTTCTTATAGTAGGGATCCTATCGAAGTGTTTTCTTCGTTTGATAATCTTGACATGTAATTCATCATTCATTCGCAGGGGATACTCCATTCTGCCCTTCATAACCAATATTGGAGATTGATAGACCCACAAGGAAAACCAACAGGAGTAGTGGGATGGTGGCCTTCGCGTGCTGTCACTTTCTTAGAAAACCATGACACTGGGTCCACACAGGTTTGAAACTAGCAGCGAGTTTATCATTTGGATTAGGCAACAGGTTTCACTTTCATGAATGAGCATATATAAATGGCAGTAAAATTTCGATATGTTTTACATCTGTGTCACACGTGAAAAAATAATTGTAGTTCAGAGGATGAGTTGATTTGATGCAAACGGCTTCCCCATGCTTGCATTTTGTTCCAGATTTTCTGTTTAATTGTGAAAATGGAATGAAATATTGTGGGTTGGTTCGGAAGCCAAAGGGTGAACAGTAAACCAAATATCTTTGAAGTCACGAGTTCAATTTGTGATGCTTTTTATATAGGATATTAAATATCATATAAGGCTTTCAATATTATACGTTGTAGAGTCTGAGTAATTGTCTGGATTTAAGGAAGTTGTGCATCAACTTTTTGGACCCATGGTTATCAATCAAAAAAAATGAAGAACATCAGAGATTGTAATATTTTCCAACCGATTCATTTGTGGATTGAACATATGCAGAAAAACTAAAGAAATCAAAGATTGAGCATGTACACAGAAAAGAAAATACTTTCTTGTTGAATCAAGAGTTTCTGTACATTGCCTTTTACTAAGCTGCCTGAACAGACTCTGCGTGCTCTTATTAAAAGCCAATATTCATTTTCCTCCACACATTTATTGTCTGATATAATACTAATTTATCTCATTTTGCAAGCACCTTAATATTAAAGCTAGCCTCCATTATTTAAGTTTTCCCTTGGCTGAGGGCTTATTAATTATAAGCTAATGAGTTCGGGGAAGTAGAAATTGAATTTTTCTACTTGTTTGTTTGCAGGGACATTGGCCATTTCCACGTGATAAACTTGTGCAAGGATATGCATATATCTTGACTCATCCTGGAACAGTAAGTTCTTACTTCTTACTTCTTAGTTGAAAAGGTTGATTTTTCCTTTATACTTGCCTCACAGTTCACACCACGTTAGCAACTGAAGGGCATGATCATGTGAGATTGTAACGAGAAAGTTTTTTTTTTTTTTTTTTTTAACTTTCAAAATATTAAAGATTTCAACAATATGAGCATTTTTTATTTTTTTTTGAAAGTTTAAGAATATTATTGAAACTTTCGTGAGTATTTTTGGGTATTTTTGAGATAAAGTATAATGCTTTATTAATTTAACCTAATATGTGTGAAGTATTAAGCTTTTAAGTTTAGTGATTTGTTTTCAAGTTGGTTCTTTCCATATAACTTCAATTATATAAAATTTTAACACCCAAATAGTTGATTTGTTTTCAAGTTGGTTCTTTCCATATAACTTCAATTATTTGGGTGTTTTTTTATATTTATGTTTGAAAATGTTCAGGGATGAAACGGCTCCTATTTATTTAAAAATATGATAATTTAGAAGATAAAAATTTAAAAAAATGGAGGAAGTTGTAGAGATTGAAAAGCTCCTATTTATTTAAAAGGATGATAATTTAGAAGATAAAAATTTTTAAAAATGGAGGAAGTTGTAGAGATTGAAGAGTGGGATTAAGAGGATATTCAAGAAGCGAGGAATAAAAATTATAAAAAAAAAAAAAAAAAAAAAAAATTAGTTATTGAGACAATTGAAAAATATTTTTACTTGTTGAGGATCCTTTATCCTTGCCTTTAATCATTGTGTTTAGACATTACTTATCTTTAATCGTTTCAAAATGGCAGCAACATGCCATTTTTTTTTTTATAAAAGAATCATATAAATACATAAATAATGGATTCTGATCATATTCTAATAGTAAGGACTTTTTGTTTCCTTTTTCTATTTGAATAATTTCCATGTACGATGTAATTGATGGTGTGATCCCCAAGCATTACTGCTTTACCTGTGTTCAATGTATAGAGCTCTTAGACTAACTGTTCATCAAGTGCAATGGAAAGCTAATGACTGATCAATGAGCTCTTGTTTGAGTCATGAAATTCAATTGCTTGAAGTTGTATATTTTTTAATTGACTTATATCAGCCATTTTAGGGGCTTTGGGCAACTATTATTCAAGTCCTCCCCTGCTCCTTTAACTGTGGTTAGAGAAACTGTGAAATATCTATACTGATATACAATCTTCTTGTTCAGATTACATGGAAACAAAACCTCATTTCATCTAGTTAAAATAATATAAGCTTGTAATCTGTTGCTGTGAGCTGCAGTCTTTTAAATTTCTTAAAGTGAGGTTGTAGGTTTTTTTTTTAAGCTTTATGCTTTCATTTTATTTTTCAGAATCTAAATAAGATTAGGAATCATTCAGTTAGTCATGTCGCTGCCCTCTCTTTCTCCTTTGAAGTTTAATTTTGTTGTCCTTATCATTCATTTTACAGCCTACAGTTTTCTACGACCACTTTTATGATTTTGGTATTCGTGAAATCATCAATGAGTTAATTGAGGCTCGTCAACGTGCTGGGATCCACTGTCGGAGCTCTGTAAAGATCTTCCATGCAAACAATGAAGGATATGTTGCACAGGTTGGAGATAATCTGGTAATGAAGCTTGGACATTTTGATTGGAATCCCTCTAAGGAAAATCAGTTGGATGGGAAATGGCAGAAGTTTGTTGACAAAGGATCAGATTACCAATTGTGGATGAGACAATAATCCTATTAAATGGAGGTAATACTCTGTTCTCCCTAATTGAATTTCTTTTTCAATGTTAAATTGGTAATGCTTGTGTAGTTCTTCAAATTTTACAAACATTGTTGTAGGTCAAGATGAGCCTGTTACCAGTAATAGTAATACATATCATACTTAAGTCACAAAACTTGAGAGATGCATGGCCAAATAACATGCTTAATAGTTAATAGACAATGACTGATATAAGCATATGGTTAGCATTGCATGTCTAGAACAAAGATCCTTTCCTCCCTTCAAAATCAATGTGAAGATGCTGAACTTCCGTCTTTTCCTGGTTTCAGTTCTTCATTTGCCTTGGTCCCCAAAACTTTAAGCTCCTTTTACGGGTCAACCCCCCCCCCCCCCCCCCCCCCCCC